TGGCCGATAATTCATAAAAATATATATAAAAAAGTATTGATAAACTAAGAGAGTCTGCACTATTGAGATACACAGCTATTGTGTAAATTATTCATGTGAGAATGAAGTTGGGTTCAGCTCCACCAATATGGGCAGAAAGACAATGTGATATTTCACCACAGGATTCTACACTGAAGCTTTTTTTTTAAGAAAAATGGACATTATGTTAATCTCAAGAGCACTTGCTCAAGACACCATCATCAGCCAAGGTGGGATTCAAACCTGAGGTGCAAAGATGCAAAACTCAGCATCTGTAATATTATACAACCTCATTATTAGTCAAGTCTTAATCAAGCTGCACATATGTGAGGAGAAAATTTCCATCAGGACTCGGAGACGTTCTGTTCCGTGTTCCCTGCATCTCACTCTCAGCCACACCGCTTCATTTACTGCATTACTCTCGACTTGTTCACTCGTCTTTGAAGAAACACCTGTGAAACTCGAGGATCCACTTCGCATGCCTGCAATTAGAGCCACACGCTCCTGGAGGGTAGCTGATCAGAGGTAACTCAAATGTGAGGGGTAGAGAGAAGTGACTGGAAATTTTACAGTTTGAACTTCTGTCGATGAAACTGTGTTTATACCAGGTATTTGTAACTTTAAGATAGAACTCACACCTGTGTAGATTTATTTTTGTTTTATACACATTTAAATAATAACCTGTGTAGGATTATATTCAAAGCAGCACCAGAAGTACATGCAAATGTCAAATGGATTGGGGATGTTAAACCTCAGATCTCTAGCAGATCATGGAATTATATTTGAACAGCTGTCATGGCTGAGCTCTCCTCTCTTCTCTCTTCCTCCTGCTAAACTCCTTACTCCTTATTCTTCTTCCTATATTTGTAACAGGGAATGGTGTCAGCCCATTAGACTATTGTTGAAATATGGATGATGAGATAAGAGAGATGAGGGCTCCGAGTTCTATTCTCACCCAGATCTCCTTATTCTTATCTCATCAACCTGACTCTTCTCTGTCATTTCAGAGATATAAAGGGCTGAGGAAAAACTAAAATGTTATTTTTTATGTATTCTTGTTGTGGCCTTGACTGGTTTTCCTTGGTCTATAGGCCAAATTACCACAACATTTTCAAAACAGATAACAGATTTTCTAACACAGACACATTGAAATCTTCCCACACCCATTATTTTGCCCCAAAGGAACTTTACCGGCAACAAACAGAATGATTCCGAAACAATTCAGACTCAGACGGAATTGATGTCACAATTGCTGTGGTGGTTTTATTGTTGTCGACAACAACATAATGGGTAGAAAAAGAGCCAAACTTTGATCTGGAGTCCTCACCCTTTTAGCAGCCGTTGAATTACACTGTTAAGAGTGTATAAAAGATAGGTTTAAATCCCTGCTGAGACTTTATTGTTCATGTTTTACCAATCAGGAGCAATCTGTGTCAGTAGCTGTCATTAAAGGGAACTGCTGCTGAATGTGTGTGACCTTCAAGACCTAAAGCTGAACTCATTCAAATCTGAACTGAGCCTAAGCTGAACTGAGGTCAACCAAAGTTCATTAGACTCTGTTCTTAGCGCCTTTGTGCTCCAGGTGAAGAAGATAGTCTGACTATTATTGACAAAAGGTCAAATGGTCAACATCTGCATCACCAGCCGGGCCATATGGTTCATCTACAAAACGTGTGAAGCTCCAACTGCTGCGACGAATGTTATTAGAATATTACACTGC